AACCAACATTAATAGAAAAATGTCCAACTATTAAGACATTTAGAAGTTTCTCCACATTTGTAGCCAAAAGATGATTCCAACAGATTCCCACATTACACTGCTCAAGAGTATATTTAAGGCACCATTGCCCCTAGAGACAGCCATTTTCTGTTGTTATTTTGAATACACATTGTGATCTCAGCACTTGGCTCAAAGATTTCTTCATTCTTCCATAACCTCCTACACAAAGGTTTTTGTGCTTTAAAACAGAAGCCTAAGGGACTGTGTCATTGTCTCTGGATTCTGGGCTAGAGAAAGACAGAATCCCACAGAGAGACTGAGCTCCTGGTGCTAAGTATGGAGGCTGTGCCCCCACTCTTCTGGGAGACTGTGGGGAGTGTCTTCCCAGGAGCTACTGGCTGGGTAGTAAGTTTTCACACAGGCTGTCTCCACTGCCAAGAACAAGTCAGGCAGGTTCCTCGTCAAAGGATGCTTTCATGCATGCCCTTTCCTAGCCAGCAATCCCACATACTAGCAAATAGAGCAAATCTTCCAAATTAGTAGCAACCTGAACAACCTAGGTATCCAATTCTCTTCAATCTAACAAGGGAGAAACTATTCATCTGTTTCAGATAAACACATCACATCTATACCGAGTAGATGAATGCTGGCTGGACAGAGCAAAAAAGAGTCAAATACTGCCAGGCCATGGACTAGAAAGTCTTTTGGTACAGCCAAAATGGAGAGTTTCTCTGGAAATGATTCAGGATCATGTTACTGCTCTTACCATGGAATTGTCACTCCCAATTAATGACATTTATGGAGCCCCTTCCAGTAAAATTGTGCAAGACAAATAAAAATTTATCTTGAGGATGGTAGAGGAAGATGGTCACAATCAGTTTTAAGAACTGATGGATAGTGACAGGGCATCCACAGCACTTCTCCCTCCTCCCACCACCTCATAGTTTACAATAAGTGGCAAATCTGGTCTCCTGGTGAGTTTATACCTACATCTGGAGTTTCACCACAGTAAGTCTATATCTGCTCTTTCAAGATTTGTTCACATGAGTAACACAAGTAACAGTGTTTCCAGCAAGCCCATTAATACATATAAGCATTACTCACACATACAAGGTGTGCTGGATTAGATTCTTAACGACATAACCATGGAAACTCCAGTCTGGATTTGCCCAGATAAACACACTAAGGAAACAAAAGCTAGACAGCTGGCACAAAGAAAAGAAATGAAATAGAAAAAAACCCAAAAATATCACTCCATATTAAGTAGTGCTGGTAGGATGTTCCATACCAGCTATTTCATAACCCACTTTCACAATCCTGCAAATATTCAGCACCCTTCCCAAACCAAAGACAAACAATTAATGCTGAACAGTTAAGGCACAAAAGCCAGTCATCACAGACCAAATGCCCCTATGGCACAGTTTTTACAAGTTCCATTTTTACAAGTTCCAATAAAAAATGTGCACCATGGTCACCCCTGGTGGAATTTATGCAACAGCTTGTCTCTTTCCTCACACTGAAGAAAGCCTCATTTTGTACTCCATTTGTGGGAACAGTGAGAACCCAGGACTTTTTTCCCATGCAATTTCTTTCTTTTTAGTTTTAAATATATTTTATGGTACCTAAATTATTAAGCATGAATATATAATATGAACACAGTTATGTAGCATTCTGTCAGGAATCTTCAAATTTTTGGAGGGTATCATCATCAGATGTAGGACAAACACAAGGTACTTGTTATTTCTTACCTATTCCTTCTGTTTCTCATCAAAAGCAGCATCTGTCAACAACTCCTAAAGTCGTTTGCAGGAATTCTTGAGAAAGCATCCATTCACTGTCACCAGTGGGTAGTGATAAATCACAGAGCATCATTACTGACAACAACATCACCACTACATCTAATGTTAGAGAAGAGTATTTGTTTGGAATACCATGTAAAATGATCAGCCATGCCATGATCTGTATCATGGTGCAGTCTGGTAATTCTTATGCAATTTTATTAATTAATCATGAGATGATGAATGACAAATGATGAGTTCTAATGACTTAGAAATTGAGGAGAAAAATAGCTTAAAATACTTTCGGTGAAATACGATTCCAGTTCAAGGCAAGAAGGTTCAAGTTTTTCCCAGTTTCCATAAGGAAGGATTCTCACAGTTGGAAAGCCAAGCCTTTATAGCTTGCCAGAATTAGCATCACCTGATTCATATCACTATAATTCACTAGCAAGGAGAATATGAATACATCCTTCAAGCATAAGATTAGCAAGCCAAATGGCAGGGCAAAGAAGCAGTATGCTCCATATCAGCATTGGTTAAAAAAAGAACTCTCTTTCATGAGAAGATAGATTTTCATCTGAGTCCTGAATTCTGGTACCACATTTGTTCAAATCATCTGTGTGAAATTAGAAGAAGAACAACAAATAAGCTCTCATCAGCTGGGTATCAGATCACTCCATGGCCATGAACTAATAACATACATCAACCAGATGCAGCGAAGGCCAGAAGAGAAAGTAGTTTGAAATTAATTTCTTTTCTGCCTTCAGTTTTGAATCTGGCTCCCAAATGCTATGGGCAACATGTGGAAACCCAAAACTGCTGCAAAACACAGTGAGTTATGAGATGTTCAAAGTACCTGTGGCATATATTTCTTCCACAGTTCAAAGCCTCACAGAAATACTGCATATTCTGGAATGAGTCACTGCTGTATTTGACCTAATAAGGAAAAACATCACCCTGAATCCAGAGTCTTGAGTATCATCTTCTCAACAGAACAACCCAGAACACAGATTAGGATAATATGTTGAATCACAGACTTTGTCCACCCAAATATTTTCATTGCAATACCTTTTCGTTTTGTGGGGTGGGATGGATGGGAGGGAAGGGGAGGGCTGTAGGGTGGGGGGAATACTTACGTCAGCGTGCAGACATCTTATACATCCTACTGATTAAGAGGTGCTGTAAGAAATTCCCAGCAAATAGAAAGAGTAAGAATGCCACAGCTCAAATACATAATGTCTGTAATGTGCACTGACAGCTTTCTACTATGGATTTACAACACATCTTTGTTGTTTCTAATTTACTAGTGTATTTTGAACTTCAGATTTTTAACATTTCTTCTAAGAGCACAGGTATATTTAAAAAAATAATAATGTTGCTGGGGTATGCTGGAGCAGATGGTCTAGTCAATACAGGTACAATAATTTATATTTAGGAAGATCTATTTGTTTATGCCTATGCTGTAATTATACTCTACCAGCATTTTTATCATAAGTTTGTATTTCAATTCATTTGGTCACTGCCATTTTTATATTTGAGCAAATTTTTAAAAAATGGGCAATTTGATGCACAGGATTCAGTTGAAAATATTCCACTCAAATGAAAAAAACAAGTGAACAGGAATGCATTATGCATTACAACTTCATTTTAAATAAACAAATCGATGGTGTTCTGTCTGTAACCTCAGCATGAAAGGAAATTGATATAGAATAACAAATCAATGTCCCATGAACTTTCTGAAAGTTTAACTGATGCTCTCAAGTGGGATCATTGGCATGGTTTCAATGGGAAGGATAACAAGATCTTTGCTTCAATCAGTTGCAAAACAAGAGTGGAGCATTATTAGTATGCTTAGACTCAAGGAATATCCTAAAATAACTTTGAGAAGAGAATAACATATGCAGTTAGAAGAAGCTAAATTGAAATTAATATTTCATAGTACTGATACAAACAGGCATCCATAACCTTCCGTAAGTAATTTTCACATATAATTTATGTGGTGGCCTTAAGCTGAAGTACAACAGTCACCGCTAGTATGCTTGATTCTTTAAAAAATGCTTGTTTTGTGTGAAAAATGACTTCTCTGTTGACTCTGGCACTTAGTTACTATCAAAATCCATCAAGTGCAGTACCGGCAGGAAATAAATTCCATTCCTAGAACAGTGCTGTCTTACATGTGTATTACATGTGCATAGTCACATGCAGATACAACCATGTTACACAGATAATCAGACCATCTGGGAGTAAAACATGGAAAAACTACTTCCATCAAGTTCTGAATACCTATGAACTGGCATATCCCAGCATTAGCTTTGTTGGCCCTACTAGAAGAAGAGAAAAGCCTTTTCTTGCTCTGACCTGTGATATGTGACTGAGTCAAAGAAGGAAGACAATTTCTTAATGGAAACAAGTTACCAGAAAATTTAAAGGCAAATGAGAATCTTTTACTCCTGAAAACAAAACAAACAAAAAACCCCCCCAAAACAAAACCCCAAACCAACAAACAAACAAAAACCAAAACAAAGACAAAAAAGACAAAACCAAAACAACAAAAACACAACATCCCTAAAGAAAACATCCATGTCATTTTTCTTAAATGTAATTTGTTTCTTTAAGAATCAAACACAACAAAAATAATTAGTTCAGATCGAGGCAAATGCATAGGTGTATATGGACATACATAGAAATGTTATGAAACAGACACAAATAAATATTTGTCTGCTTTTCATTACCCAAAAATGTCTGCTGGAGCTGAGCTGCAGTCTGATATTGAAATGAAGGTTGGGGAGCATTTACTATTGATTCTACAAATGACTCTCACTGGTGACAGGAAAGGAAAAAGCAAGTTCATGTAATAGAATTTTGAAACAGATTATGTAGAGAGCCCAATAATACAAATATAAAAGGCAAACCATGTTGCTTGCTTGAGAAAGTGTGCACAACTTACACTAAAAAGAATAACTACCACAAGTAATTACCTACAACAATCATTGCATAATGCAGGATGTAGGACAATGCCACAGGTCCTGAAGAAAAGCATTGCCACTGAAATGATCACCCAGTGGAAAGTCACTTCTGAGAATTTTAGCAGGGCTTTAGCACTAAATACCTCCCTGCTCCCTGCTCCCTGCCATGTCTGTGCGAGGGCCCAGGGGCACACTTTCTGAGAAGTACTCCCATCGGTCACATTTTAGTTACAGAAGTCATGCCTTGAGAGTGTAAGTGTGCAACTGAAGGCAATACATCTGAGTCACAGCCATCACTGGAACTGTGTTTAGTGACACACCATATCAATCAACACTGTGTTTGCCCAAACTGGTGGGGTACAGCTTCTCCGAATGGCCAGGCCGCTCCAGGTACGACTGAAAGTGCTGGAGCTGCACATTTAAATGAACAGACTGTGGGTCCAAATTAAAAGCTACCTCACTGAGTTGCTCTTTAACTTTTAGAATCTAAACCCAAGACCAGTAGCTCCTGTTTTCTTCTTCCTCAGCCTGTAGAAATGAAGGAAAAAAGGTTAGACACACAGCATTATGAATAGGTCACGCTGAATTCTGAGAAGCACCATACCAGAATTCATCTATGACTTCCTACCCATTAAATCCAAGCATGAAACCCCCTTTAGTGCAACATTTTGAACTCCTGAGTTTGTAAATGTAATTTTTTTGTCACAGATACCATAAATGCACCATTAGACAACTGTTACAAATTAAGTGATGGAAAAAATCAAGCAGCATGGAAAGAAACTAAAAGTTATCATTTATAGCGGTAAATCACCAGGTTTCGAAAACATAATGAAGTCACACCAGCTGTTTTAAATACATGAAGCTGGGGAAGGCTTAGTTAATAATTGATGAAGTACTAACAAGAAGGAGAGAAGGAGACAAATCTGAAGAACTAAATAACCAAAGTAAAAAAAATTGTAGAAAACAGAAAAAAAAAAGGAGGCGGCGTCTATTTCTACAGAGCAATTTTCATGTAAAAAGGGCAGTGTTTGCCATTTGATTACAGAAATATGCCTATTAAGGCAGTCTGAGATAACAACTCCTAGCATATTTTTGCTGACCCACTTTGTCTGCTGTTATTTCCATCCTGGAAGCATGTATTACCATCTTGCTTCAAGCAATGTGTTTTCAGCAGTCACTCAGTTTTTAGTTCAGGCATTCGGTGCGTTCACATTCAGTAAAATTTTGCAAATAAGTAATTATTACTTAATAAAACAAACTCAACCTTCCATTTTACATAATCTTTTAATTACTTTCTAAATAACCTTCTGGGGGAATCCAGTTGGACCCCTTATCCATATGAAAAGACTTCAGGCAAGACAAGCACAAATAAAAAATATGAACCAGACGTCTCTACAATCACACAAAAAGATTCAGGTCTTCTTGCCACCATGATAATACACTTAAATAGTCTTTGCTGTTGATGAAAGCATCAGTGAACTGGCTAAGAAGAGCCACTGGCTGGAGGTCACCAGGTCAGCTCCTCTGCTGCTGATCTGCCCTCTGCCACCAGCTCCATTCACAGCTCTTACTGGTGACTTAGTGACATCAGCCAGTCCTTAGATTAAGGTCTCTGCTTTCTTTCTTTAAACTTTGAAATTCTCATGTAGGTGTTTTTCCTCTTGGATCCTTTCACACCTGATGGTTTTGTTACAACCATGCTCCCTCGGATTGTAATCTTATCATTTTTATCTGCAGATTTTCTTTCTGCTCACCTTCGCACCCTCTTAGTGCTCACACTTCTCTGAGACAGGGCTGTGCAGCTGGGTGTGATCCAAGCTGGATCCTTATCTGCTAAGGATCCCATCTCAACAGCAAGGGTTACTGCTGTGACCCAGGTCTTCTCGTTTGGAGCAGGCACCTCTCCCTGGAACAAAGATCACTTTTCTTATGAGTGTCACAATCTTCTTCCACTAGCTTAGGGGAACATCAAAGTCTTGGGAGCAAAAGAAAAAAGAGAATATGAGTTGACAGAAACTGTCAACTTTACAGGCTGGCCTGTAAAATATTCTTACAGAGACAGGAGGATGATCCCAATGCTTGAATTCAAGTTTTAGGAACAGTAAAATGGCAAAATTTTTTGCATAACAAAATGTTATTATTTACCTTACTTGACAATGAAGACTATATTAAAAATTCAAATTAGTTGTTTCAGAGAGTTTAAATCTGTAAGAATAATACATAGTTGAAATAATGAGAGGTAGGAGTGGCTCTAGTTTTTTCCTACTGATTCATTTGACCCTCTCAACTTCCTGATTCCTGATTATTTTTTTTTAGGCCTCCATTATGCTTTTTCATGCATTTTGTGTTTTTTTCCATATTAAGACTCACAAGAAACTTATGTAAGCCAAGAGGAGAGAAGAAAATTCATCACCTGCTACAGTTTAGATTTAAGAGCAATGAATGCAACAAGGCATATCAGTGTAAACCTAAACATGTAGAATTCAGTGAAGCTGGAGACAAATTTCCAGAATCTCAGGATTTTATTTAGGCATCTTATTACTCTTGAAATTACTGGGAAATCAGACTGTAAAAATCTGTTCTCTTCTTAAATAAATCTATACCAGGAAAGCAGCTTGGGCATAAACAACAACCTAAACCCAGTATCATGTAGAAAATGTTCCCAGCATTCAACATGAGCCCAGATGCGTGGTCTAGTGGTTAGGGTGCAGGACTCTCACCACTGCGACCCGGGTTCGATTCCCGGCCCCCCAGGCAGATGGAGCTCGTCAGCCCTGTAAGGCAATCCATCTAAGAGAAGGTCACTCTAAACAAACCTACGTTCTGAGACCCTCACTGCCACTATCCGAGTTTCACTCGACCCCGGCAGATGAACCTCAGGATTAAAGGGTGGGCTCAGTTCAGCGCACGCTGTGTCTCACCTAAAAAATCCACTGCGCAGGCTCGAAGGGTTAATGACCTTTCCCAAATCTTCGCTCGCGAAGACTGGCCATTACTTATTACTTACTCTAGATGCAAGCTGCTATTTTTTGGTTAGTGATGACTATGCTGTTTTAGTATTAACTGGAAGACTTGCATAAACAGAGGCTCAAATCATATGGACTAAAACCATCAGATGGAGTGCATATGCAGACTGCCTGTGAAATCAGAGGCATGATTCCTTTCTCTGCCAGGACTGCTGCTCTGAAATGTAGTTAGAAACAGTTAAATGCATTCACAAATTAATATTCAGGATGATTCCTGTCTTTAGAAAAAGAGTAGGAAGCATCAATAGTTTCCTTTTCATAAGACTTCCCGATTCTTCAGTGGAGGGCACAGCAACACATTATTGGACAAAGCAAATCCAGAAAAGTAATTTTATTGGGCTGAATTCACTCTTCCACCCCAGTGGAGATGTCTCAGATAAAGCACCTTAGATGAGATTGAACAGTTGTGTTTAATTAGCTCAGTTCCACTTGTACCTTTTTATCACTGTTTTGCTGCAGAAAGTGTATTTTTCCATGATTCAGAGGAAGGCAACTTCTTTAATCTGGGCTGAAGCTAGAAACTTCCAAAGCACTAAAACCTTCAGTTGAGAAAAGGAGAACAGACTCAGGACAAAAAGTTGTACTCTGTTTTATGAGAGTGAGGGGCAAAGAAAATCTTTTTGTGACCTCCTTTTCATAGGCACAATGCAGTAGTTAAGCATTAAATAACAGCTCAATAGGTTTTCATCAATGCAGAAAAATAATTACTTGGGAAAAGTTATATAACCTCCAACAAGGTCAAAGATTGAGATATTTTTACACGTGGTCTGTAAGATTCCCTCCTGCATGAAATAACTTCTTGAATAGAAAAAAACTCATCATCTTTAAAGGGCTGGACATAAATGACCTATTATTTTAGCACCCATTAATTTTCCTCCATGTGGAACCTAATAGGGAAATTCATTAAACACTACCATTGGTTATTCTACTCTGCAAAAAGCATATCCATGAATCCATCCCGACCAACCAAACTGTATCTTTATTTCAAGAGCCAATTTAAAAGAGTTACTTTTTGTTCTTTACTTGAAACAAAATTTCATGGGGCTATCCCAGTCAGTTCACTGACTTATCTTTTCCCTGCTTCCTGGAACGTTTAATTATCACCCTTGTAACAGAAGAGATACCAGGACACAGTTAATCAAACTCACTGATTAGGATCCTGCTAGCAGCCAAAATCCAGATATGAATAAAGGGCTGAACACCATGTCCTTGCAGTAGTACCTATGAGTTTCAATTATTAACCTATCACAGATACTGCATTAAATAGATCGTTAAAGTTCTCAGCAACCATAATCAAGTCACCACCACATGCAATTTTAAATGCACCTTATCTTAGGACTGCTGCTTACCTGGCTCTACATATTACATCTTCAGGGTTGGTATGGAAACAATCCTGACACAACTTTCTCTCTTTGGGATGTCTCCGTCAGAGAAGTTTTATTTTCCTCTTGCTTAGGTTCTACCATTTTTGACACTAAGCATAGACTTCCCAGGCGAAATATTGCCTTCCTTTAAACCAGCTGAAGTGTTACAATTGGGCTCAGCACGGTCAGTGTTTATGCTGCTGAGCCTGGGACTTCCCATTCAAGAGTGTGTAGAGTAAAAGGTGCTGTGGCAAATACCAGAGCTGAAAGATCTAGAAAAAGAGGTATTTTTCAGTCTTTCTGAAGGCCCTTGATAGGTTTGGGGCATCTCTGCATAGATATTCCCAGTTTAAGCCTAGGGCTGTGAGCCAACAGAAAGAAATTCTGGGTGACATATTTGGATGATGTCCTGGCAGTCATTTCCTACCACCTCCCTCCCAACCATCTGGTCCTGACAAACTGGAGCTCGGCCTTGGGCGGACAGTTAGACCACATTAGCAAAGAGTAACATATGATAAATTTCCAGATAAATAGAAAGATTGGAGTTCTTCACATCACTCATATTTGTGCCTGAAACATATGGCTCAAGAACAGCTACAATGGAATTTTCACCTGATAACTATGATCCATTTTCTACACTAGCTACATCAAAACCAAATCCCATCTCAGTTTTTCATCAGCTGACCCAAAGTCTTTGATAAACCCAGACATGACTATAAATTTTTAAAACATGCTTCAGTTTTCCTTAAATATTTTAACATTACTCTTGTGATATTTTCAAGACCAAATACAACTCTCCTGGTCAACTCTCTATCAGATCCAGTATGTTGTTACAAAATTCTACATTGACCCACTTGAACATTTTTATTGAATTACATTCGCTCTGGAATTAGAGCCTTTCCAGTCCTACTTACTATTAATTTACTATTAAGGAGGGAAAACTGCATCCCTTTCTTCCACTGAGTATCTTACAATAGCTTATATACTTTAAATCCACTGAACAATTTATACAGCCTCATAATTCTCTCTTTTAAATGAAGTGATGCAATTAGTGAGCAACATAAGCAGTCACACACTCGACAAGGTGCCAGCCAGAGAAGGTTGAAACCTCTATGCTTTGCATAGAGGAGGACATCATATGCTTGGTCATTAAGGCAATTGTGAGCTGGCAGTGCTCCAGTGGTGCCGTTGGTAAACAGCTGGGGGTCAGTCCTTTTCCTCATTGTGCTGGGAAGTAGCACCTTACTGGATAACAAGTACTACATGCCTACCCTGAAGAAAACGTTCAAGATTTTGAGCCTGGAAGGACTAAATTTCATAGTCTTAATTGAGGTGACATGTAAGACCTAAGAAAGTTCAGTTAACTAGTGTACATGGCCAATTTGTCTGAGAACTGTTTGTAAGCAGTCTGCTCGTATTTTTTTTCCTTATTTTGTACAGAGACATTTGTTAATCTCAGTGGATGTTCAGACAACAAAATATTTAAAGTCCTATGAGCCAGAGCTCTTCTAAGTTAAGAAACCACTACTTTGAATAAAATTCTGACACAAAAAAATTTTTAAATATATATATGCGCACACATATACATATATATATACACACACATATATATCTCTAAGAAATCTCTCAGGGGAACACTACAGTGTGATTGTTTCTATGACTAAAACAGTTTTGGTGTTTCTTTGTTCCTTTGACTGAACTAATTTTATCATATGAATTCTCTAGTGGTTGCTACCATGTGGAAAGGATGCACTTCTACTAACATCTTCCTGCACATCAGTCACAACATATGGCAGGTTATCCCTTGTCCATGATAAGCATCTTGTTGTCCCTCCAGTGTTTGAGGGGGTAGGGCCTGAGGACTAAGATCATCTGCAACTAAGCTCAGCTTTCTTTTTAACTCTACTTACAGGTCACTGGCCACTTCCAGAATACCAGCAGTCATTTTTGGAGCTCTTTGAAGTTCAAAGCCTCTACTCTCAGCTCCTCTCTCAATGAGCCATCCTGCAACGTGACAACCCCATGATGCAGTTCATGCTTCTCATCTCTCGAGGTGTGCCTGACCCAGCCCCACACAGTCCAGCAGCACACTGGCATTTAACCTGCCTTTGCTCTGCTGCACCATGTGATGTGGAGCACTATGGGATGGGATCCCTGCTGATGACAATCGGGCAGCAGCTTCATGGGCTAGACCAGTCCTGTTTCTCCAATCTGAGCTGTAATTCCTTTTGAACAGAAACAAGTGGCTCTCACATATTGCCAGGCAAGTAGAGGGTATTATCTGGTTCATTTCATTCCCTAAAGCAAAAAGTATATATAATATTGATTCTAGGGTTTCAAGTATCATTATAATTGACTTATCAGAGTGCGTTAAAATGCAACATTTGTACGCAGTAAGCAATAATTATGTAATAAGAAAAGATAGAGAATAGCTTTAATAATGTGCAAACATACCCATGGCAATGTAAAGGAGTTTATCCCTTTAATGGCTCAAACTGTGTAGCTGGATTCACATCACAACTACACTTTGGCTGAAAAATATACGTTTGGATGAAAAGTAGGCATTTACTCTGGTCCCTTGAAGGCCAGGGAGCCCTGATGGCACCACTGGACTGATCACCCCTTAAAGCATTTGAACAACTCATCAATTATTTTTCCGTAACAGTAGTTTCAGGGTATGTTTACAGCACAGCTGCTGGACATTTTCATTGAGCAGATGATAAGGGGTGTGTTACTTTTAGTTGGTTTGGCTACAAGGAAAATTTATGCTTTACAAATCTGATTCAGATCTGCCCTACTTGACTTGATCACTAAAGCAAAGGCAGCTGCTTACTATAGTTGTCTTAACTTCAGTTACATATTTTGCCTGCTAAAGTAGTAATTACAGGTCTTAGGGAAAAGCAAGGAAGGAAACAATAATTATACAGATAGAGAGGGAAGATATTCCAGCTGCAAATCAGATTTATTTTCCCACATTGCCTACCTTAGGAGACTATCAAAAAAGCATATAATACAGATACTATGTCTCTCTAGAATCATGCTTAGCTTTAACTATTACCTGTCTTTCAGAATCTGAAAGCTGCTTGCCTAATGCCACAGCATAACCTGAAGGTGGTTTTTTGGGGTAACTCAGCTTCGCAGAAGACAACTCCTTTTGTTTTATTTTTGTGGTGTGTCTGCTTAATCTTAGCTGAGTTTTAGGGATTAAAAGGGACCAGTTTAAATCCCTGGTGTGTTTGTAAAATATGTGGAAGACAGTCTGCTGTTTAATGAAAATAGAAAGAAGATTGCCTAGCAGATGTCCTCGCTGATTTGTAAGTGATAGAGCACAATTTCCCCAAGCTCCTTGTTATCCGCAGAAACACCTAGGCAGAAATTTTCTTGATCTCTCTTGAGCTGAAGTTTTCTTGACCTCTCATGCACTGTAAGTACTAGAAGAGTGACTCCAGAGCATCAGAAAGGCAATGCCAAGCCTTCCTGCTTCGTGAGACAGGATAGCATAGTGATGTGTAGTCACTAAAGTTTCCAGTCAGATACCTTTGCTCATGCTCACTTTCTGGGTTGTCAGCAACCACACATAGCACTGCTTATGCAGTGTTTTACCATCTGTCTTGCACACACTTTCTGCTTTTTTGGGAACCACATGGGTTGTTGACATGGATTCTGTCTTTTCCAGCTTCCATCTCCCTCTGCCAAGCACATTTTCTTAATCAAATAATGCTTGGCAGTGTACACAAGCAAACAATTACCCACACAAATTTGGTGCAAGCAAGTGTAAGACCACATCAACAGTGGAGAGGAAGTCGGGTTTAATCATTAAATGTGTAAAGTGTTGGTTCGACAATTGTTTTTGTTCAATAAACCATACGATTTTATTGTGTGGTTACCTTTCCTGGGCCAAGGCTTCAGCCTAATTCAAGATTTAATAAAAGGCACAGCTTTTGTAAAAAATGGAGAACCATGTCCCTATTTCTGACCCTTCTCTCCTGTTCTGACCCTTTCTCACACACGAGGGCTGAATTACCCATCATTTTGAGACTTTACTGCATTGAAGACATAGCTAATGCTGTGTTGAGGATCAAATACAATTAACAAGGAGGTTGTTATCTTCCCAAAGATCCAGCAGCAAATAGGTTAAGAAAATTAATTTTGGCCCTCCAACCCTTAAAGCTTGTTTTGTATTCTGTTGTTTCAGGTGCTTCCATGTGTATCATTCTCACATGGCCTTACTACTTCACCCAGCAGCTGGCCAGTGCAATCTGCTTGACTAAACTTCTAGCTACAGCAGTGTTCCTGAGATTTTGATTAAGAGTTAATTCTCATGCAAAAAGTTAAACAAGGAAAAATTTCCCCATGGTAATTTGAGAAGCAGTCCTGCATCCAAATTAAGTCATACCCAATGCTAATGAAACAGCTTTAGAAACCAAAGGGGTAACCAAATACCTCAGGCCATTTTATCATCTGAGGTACACGAGTAAATATGAAAGGCCTGATGCAGATTAATAGGCATCACAGGTATGTAAATGATCTCTTAATTTGGCACTCTGTAACTTACTTGCTCTTAGATCTTAAAGTACCCTGAAGTTTGACTTTCTAACACTAGAAAAACTGTTCTTAATTCCCTACAAAAACACCATGTAATTTTAAAAGAAATTTAATTAGAAAACTTTGTAAATACTTTAAACTGTATATTAAAGATCAGAGGTTACTTGGAAAAAAATCTTGCTTCAGGTTTCAGTATAGATGAGAAATATTATCAGAAAAAAAAAAAGAACTAAAGTATCAGTTTTGTCTTCCCATTTTTCCTACTCTGCATTGCTGTAATCCTGCAGCTCTCAGGAATGGCAGTTTGATTTACCTAGGCACGTGTGTCTGTACTTGCTACTCCTGTTGTGGTAACTCCAGTTCCTTCACAAAGAGTAGCACCCAACAGCCCATACTTTCAAAAACAACTGGCTAGAATTGTATCTTGGCAATTCAACTAAATTTTACCACCTGCAATAAGCTAAATGCAGGTTGTCTTTTGCCCAAGTATATGTGTTGCATCCTTTGCTTTTACTTAGGGATCTTCCCAGCTCAGGCCACACACTGGCTTCTGGGCACAGCCTCACTACTACTCTAAAATTTACATGAAAAAGATTCTCAGTGCATTGACAGCAGGTGCCCAAAACAAGAACTCTCCCCCCAAAAGAGTTATTGAATTATATAATTCTTAGTCTGCAAGTGCCTGTCCCCCCATCCCACAAGGAAGAAACAAAACACTGCAATAGGCAGGATGCTGCAGAAAGGTTACTGTGATTTGTACCATAACCTACCTAGAAGTTGCTTACATACATGCACAGACGGACTCACACAGAGGTTTTACGTGTCTCTTGGCCTTTTCACTTTCCGGCTGTAAGTTAATGGGTTGTGAGAACAATGTCAATATGTGCCAGTTTAAGAACAATGTTTTATGTAACTCAGATTAAAATTTAACAGGGCTGTTTCACTATTCAGTGTGTGCAGCCTTTTCAACTGGATCTGATAAAGATCAGTTTTGCTGGAACTTGTTTTCATAGCACTTACAAAAGCAGCCTCCCTGCTACTGGCACTTGGAGCAAAAGAAGCTGCAAAATCTGCTGCATTTGAAAATGAAGGCAATATGCTTAGCATGCTTTTATACATGCAATAAATAAATAAGGGAAAAAGATGCTGGAAGGATTTGTGGCACTGTGTCAGTTGCTAATCTTGCTTTAGCTGCATTATAACACTAGCTCAACTCATAGTCCTGTAGGTTACCACTTCAGTGGCCTGACAACTGCAAATAGCTGTCAGCTACTAAAGGATACCTGAAGCAACCTGGAAGTGTGATTGACAAACCTTACTCGGCTCTATGTTCGCATAATGGACTCTTATCACCAGAAAGTCCACCGTTCCAAACTGCAGTTGGCATGAGAGGCAACAGGAGAGCTGCAAAATCCCCATTTAAATTGTGGAGAAACAGAGGATCAACCTTCAGTTCCGTTAAATCTCTTGTTTAAGCATGTGCCTCTCACATACTGACAAAAAAAGGTGAATTTATAGAAACCTGGTAGGTAATGATATTTGGACTGTACTGTAAGTGTAAGCAAGCCTCAAAGACAACCCAGACATCTCCTGATAACAGGTTGTCATTTCTGCAAGAAACAGCTCACTGGCTGTAAGAGTTCACACATGCATCAGCCCAGTCCACTGGGAATTCCTGTGAGCTTCTATCAACAACAGCCAAGACTGAGGCCTTTGAAGTCCCTGTACCTAAGATGAAGCATGCATATAGCAAATAAGCTGCAGTACAGTTGCATATTTTGATATCAGTCTTTTTCACGTACTTTAAAAGCAAACTACAAGAGCCAGATGCCCTGAGCTGATTAGGAGTCTGTCCTTCAAGACAAGCATTTAGGAGACATTACTCTAGGAGTTCAAGACTATCAAACTTCAAATTTAAGATCCTTGCCAAAAACTCTTAAGATGTTATCAAAGTAAGATGTGACACTTGGCTATAAAGATCCTGTTAATGAGTAACAGAAGAATTTGTGATCAGCTACAAACTAATTTGAAATCAGAGTAAGGAACACAGTTTTCAGAGGAGAAACCAAGTTTCTTACACTGCACACCACCATGTATACCTGTGTATATTTCTCAGGACTGCAACAAAAAACTGTTTATGGATGTGCAATAAAGCAGTTACATGCATTACATATATGGTTTGCAAAAGGACTGCAAAACCTGTGAAAAGACACATTTGCAGTTTCTACTCATGTCTTTCTTCCCAAACCTTTATGCTTTTCCTAACCCTTCAGAAAAAGCTTCATATGCGGCTTCTTAAAAGCCTATCAGTAAGCATGCAGAAGCTGCACCCTTACTGCTTTTCATAGCAGAGATTAAAAGATCAGATCTTGACTTCTCATAGAGGTGATCAGTAAAGATTTCTTCATAATCTTACTAAAATTACAATTTTGCAAGGGATAAACTTACAGACAGTGACAGGCACAGATGACTTTTTACTCTCTCTGCAAAAGAGTTCTGTTGAGGATACTTTTTTTTTTTTGGAGGCATGTTTTTGGAAAGCTTATATCCCTATGGATATTTTCAGAGTCATATTTTTATTTTAAAGCATTCATTTTGTCATGGCCAGTATTAAACATTTTGGATTTAATGCATGTTTTGTTGAATCTTGTGGCTTTCGATAATGTTCAAAAGCACTAAAAAGAGGGTCAGAATAGGGTAACTGTTCAAGCTACTGCTATGTGGTTTTTTTGCTTGGGAATACATCATTGCAGACATTTTAAATATACCAGAAGTTAAAATAACATTCTTCTGATTGAATAATTTCTATTAGGCTACTGATCTGAGCTGAAAACCAGTGACAGGCTCCAGTGGTTGTTAGTTTTGGAGTGCTTGAGTTCCTTTAAAGCTCTGCAACTCATGCTGTTTAAGATTTACCTTGATTCTCTAGTGCTATCTAGTGGCTACTACTGAAAATTATTAATGTGTAGAAATGCAGCTACACTAAAGTCAGCTTCTATGGACCAATCTAGGTACTTCTTCCATGGCTAGTCTGACTTCAAGGTGTCTAAGTGGGGTTGGGTAGTAAAGACAAATAGCCTCTCCCACAAAGGTTCAGCACCCAAAACTTCCAGGCTAAATGCCCAAGCTGAAATCAGCAGCTGTCTGCGTAAGCACTTTTGTATTGAAAAAAACCAAACCAACCAAACAAAAAACCACTCATGCAGCCACCTCCAGACCTATTTGTGCCTAAATAGGCGAGCACTTCCCCTCTTCTGTTACCTATCAATTTAACTTATCCTTCTCCTGTTATTGCAATGCACTTTTGAATTGAAAGTTCACACTAGGGCAGCTCCAGCCACCTTTCAATAGAGAGAAAAGCATATAGGCTTCCAGGTGTCAGTATACATATCTGCCTCTTTGCTGTTGGCTGCCCAAGATTTTTGCTTGGTTCATCTTCTCCTTGACATTGAGAAGGAAAACAACCCAGTTAAGGGTTGCCACTTTTGGGCTTCATCAGAGATCCGCTAGCTTGGCCAACAGATCCAAGGTTTAAGCTCAAGTGTGAGGGTCAATAACACATGTATATGAGTTCAAACTATCAACTAAGTAAAACTGAGTATGGTTCCTATATATAGAAGAAACAATCCTATAAATGTTCTTTCACATGGGCCTAAACAAAGAGCTTCTAGCAGTGAGGAAGTCCGGAATGTATGTATTCATACTTCATGAGGCGATCCTAGCCCCACAAACACGGCATCAGTATCCCAGACTCAAACATTTTTTAACTTCAAATAGGATTTGATTGTCCTGGAAGCACAAACGGAAATGTGCTCCAAACTTAAACATACCAGGCTAATAGAAAAGATGTATACTCCCAATAGAAGAAGGTGCATTGGGAATCACAATTTTCCTGGAAGGAAATATCAGCAGTCCAAGGGTTAGCACTTACACAGTACTATTCCCAAATCCACACATGAGCACAGACACACACAGACTTTGACACACTCCCCTCACACATAATAACTCCCCCCCACCAGCCCAAGACATACATACCAATTAAAAGAAATGGGAGAAGTGCTGACCAGAATGGTTTGGCTGCTGGCAAATTAAAGAGCTTTGAAGAGACTGTGACTTCTAAAGTGGAAAGAAGAAAACAATATATGACAGCAAACGGTAAACTGTTAATGACTTATTTCTATTAAATGTTAATATTCCATAAATCTGCACTTAAAACAAAGGTCCAGTTATACTTTTTTCTTCCAGCTCTAGTAACCACAATAGAAAGGCTTTTTTTTCCAGAGGGAGACTATATACACAGAATCCTGATGGTGAGCTGCCATTCGAAACAAACAAAAGCCAATTTATTCCTAGGGAGATAAGGCTTAGACTGAAAAGAGAGCATACTTAGTCATAATAGGAAAATCAGCTCAGACCAGGAGATTTCCACCTTGTCTCCAGCAATTCACTCTCTTGCCCAGATTTATCCTTATTGCAAAGGTGTTTTTAGACACACAATTTAACATGAAGGCAATCACTGCTGTCATTCACTGTTGTGAAAGGGGCTGTAAAAGCTTTGCCAAGAGACCGTGTCCACAAACATTTTTGTGAAGTAATCAACATACATATTTGGTTAGAACAAACTCTGAGCCTACACTAACAACAAATTTGAGTGGATTACTTCTCCTTCTGTAGATGCTTAAAAACAGAAGTATCTGATAGAACTGGAGAAAAAGGTAGAACTAAAGTAGCTCCTCTGCATAATCTTTAAATTAAAGCCAAGATGTTCAAGGCTAGATTTTTTAAAAAATCCCCCAGTCAACCAACCACCTTGATTTCCAGGACTGCAAGTGAAGATTGTCAGATTTGTGGGACACACCCATATGCAGGACTTAAAACTGCTGAGTATGCATCAATCCCACCAAGGAGTGACTCTGCTACACCCAGCGGTGGGTTCCTAACCACCACACCTGTCAGGGAGCAAGTCTTCAGGAACTGCAAGTGAGCTTTTGTCTACCCTTTTCATTAACACCACTCTACTCTTCCACATTGAATAGCTGAGAGGTAAGCAAAGTTAAAAGAAAGGGATGGATATCTGACCAGAAAATGGGTATAAGGCTTTTGGGAGACCCTGTTCTCTGAGTCACAGGCTCCATGGCTCACTGTTGATCCCTCATGGCAAGTCCCATGCCTGAAGAAATGCTTTTTAAACAGACTGAAAAATGAATAATGATCTCTGGCACAAAAAAGCAAGACAGCTTCATAGTTTCATGGATTTGCAACGAGTTTGCAAGTGAAGATAAAATCTTAAAAAAAAAATAAATTAAGGTTCACATAAGAGTAATGCCTTTTTATAACTATGAAATTATTTTGAATTCATCTTTCGCAACAGAATGAACAATGCAAGCATGCCATTGTAAAGCAATCAGGAACACACCTGCAACTTTACTTCTTTATCATGACAGTTTGGAATTTATTTATTTAAATCCCACATTGTGACACAAAAGCAGTAACAAAATAGCTGTAAACTACTTCTGTTACAAATATAGATACTATGTAAAGTGACTTTACATATTCTAATGTAGGCAATTCTCACACTATGCAAGAAATAAGTATAAAAGAGCAATTCAATAACAGCAGCATCCAGTAATGGTACCATGTGATTTCTTCCATCTTAGCCTACCACAGTGTAACTTCTAGAGCAGTTAAAAAGACAAAGGGGTGGATTTTTTGTTAATTCGCTTACACTTAGCTATCAATTTGTTAATACTATTTGACAGACACTTCTAATACTGCTTTTGTGACCCCAGTAAAACAAATGCTAGTCTTTTGTGTTCTCCCATAATGATGGCCTGAGCATTGCCTGCATTTCAGTTTGGATTTCTCTTAAATG